TATCAAGAGTAGATTCAGTCCTTTTGATTTGCTTCTATTCTGAAACGAAAAACATCAAATTTGCCGGTGTATATGAGCAATGTAAAAGACATGCTATTGCCACAGTTGTTTCTTAAGATAGGAACAGTGATAAGATCTGAGACATTCACAAAAAACTATTCTCGTTAAAACAGTCTCGATCCACAAGCAATTTATCAACTTGCAGGATTTTCTTCGTAAGAAAGAAGTTATTTTATTACTGTGCACCGCTTAAGATTTATCAAGTACTACACAAATTTGATTTCATGATGCAATTCAAGACGATTACAGGTAGATTTTTATTTATATTTTTTATTATTAATGAAATACAAGTTTCGAACAAACTTCTATTCTAAATCTTGAAATTAAACTCTTTATATTTATACAAACAGATCATGCGAGTCTCATGTAGATAATTATAATAAATTATCAAACTGAATGAATTCAGCTAAGTCTCGTTTTCTTGTGAATATACTGTGGTAATCATCTACTAGTTTTTCTTTTTTTCATACTTTGATATTTTACTTCCAGATAATTCTCCAATATCAATATTAGAAAATTTGTATGTAGGACTTTTTTTAGCTGTTGTTGGTTTATCAACAAGTAAACATGTTAATTCAACTAATTGTTCAGGTGTCATTGTTTCTGCTTGTTCAAAGAAAGATAATTTTGTTGTTGATTCTTCATGTTTTCTTTCTTCTTCTTGTTCATCTTCAGCAAGTATTGCTGCTAATTCATCTTCATCAATTTCATTTTCCATCTGAAAACGAACAAGTATTTATCTCAGTTATATGATGATATATGAGCAAATATTAAAATTATTTTGTTCGTTCGAAAGTCGATAATATAAAACAACCAATAAACGAAAAAAAAAGTCATTTAATGACATCTATTGTAAACATTAGTTTAAATTTTAGGACTCGATATTACTACAAAACATCCATCCATCCAATTATTGATGTGTTAAAGTTTGTTTTGAATTTGAAATTAAATGATCGAATCGGTAAGTCTAATATAGATTACATAGATCGAAGATTAGAGTAGACTTTATTATATAAATTAAATAAAGTCTTAGTATTTTCTTCGAAAATTATTATGAAAATATTTCAAATCGAAGGTTATCTTCGATTATTTATAATATTTTCTCTATCAATAGATCTATTTACGAAAGATATACACTCACTTGTTCAAAACTCTTTCGAGAAATGACTTGAATAAATATATCTTTTATTGATCTCGGTAGAAACAAATTTAACTGAATAGTTAATTGATTTTTTTGGTTTTATAGAATCATTTATCATGGTTAAAGTAAAAAAGATATTGTATTTAAATATAACTCAATGTATTAATTGGCAGTGATGGATGAGCTTATTATAATTTTTTTCCTCTGTCGGCGGCAACAGCTGGATGTCTCTAACATTTTTGTTTTAGCTTTCGGCGATGGTTCAAATGATCAACTTACATCTATAATTAGTACTAAAGCAAAACAATCAACTTGTTTATGAAGTCCAGAACTAAATAGAATAATGATTGAATTAAGAAAATTGTTCCAGTTTAACTGAAACGAAGATTGTTAATATCTTTAAATGATATTCATGTAATATTCTTTATCTCATTGTCGATCTATTAAAATTTCCAGTAATGTTATTTTTTCAATCTGTAATATTACAATCATTGATGATCCACAAAAACACAACAATAAATTAATTAAAAGTCTATATATCATTGATTTTTTTTTAGAATTATAAATAGTAATATCAATATGTTGTACTTCATTTTTCGTGTAGTCATGAACTTGTTCATAGACAACTTTATATTTATATATTTGTAAATTTATCGATATACATTTGTTTTTGAAATACAGATTTTGATTTTCAACATAGTTCGTTATAATATCCATTGAATGAGAATTCTATAATTAATTTTATTTTTTAATCATAAAGAAAAAAAATAAAACAAACTGTTTTCTTTTGTCAAATTCATTCTATACTTATCGATTTGAAATAACACAAGAAGAAAAGACAAAAAAAAGAACAATCATCAGGTACCAACAACATAATTACTAGTTCTTCTTTCAAAACCATCATAACCGGTTTCTGTTAACATTTTTTTTAATTTGTCTTCACGTACTTTACGTGCATATTCAATATTCATTTTTGTTATTGAATCTAATATTAATTTACCTCCAGCTAAAAATAAAAATAAAACTATTAATACTTGTACAAGATCATCGAGATGTGTAAATTTAGTTATAAATATAACACGATCCCAAACTAATAATGGTAAAACCATAATAATACCAATAACAGAATTTATTGCATCAAATTTTAATGCCGTTGATTTAATTTGTTTACTAATAATTATTTTTATTATTGATAATATTGTAAATACAATAATATGTATTAAAGAATATATAACAACAGTTATATCGGGTCGTACTGTAGGTGCTAATATCATACTTTGTATAGCACGTGTTTCAATAGCAAGAAATGATCCAATAAATAATGCACCAATAACACAACAAGCAAGTTTATCACGACGATGAACATCAACAATTGATGTTGCTGTTAAATGCCATGATACAAAACTTGCACATAATGAATCCATGAATGCATGAACAGAAAATGAAAAACCAACAAAAGATTTTGTACGCATACAATTAATGTATGCTGTTAAACCAAGTGCAATATTAAATATAAATGATATAATACATGACCAAAAAGCTATACGACGTAAACGATGAAATTGTTCATGACTAATTGTGGTAGAATTTGAATTATTATCAATTGATATATTTAATTCTGATGACTTTCGCATTAGTATTATTCAATTTTTTCTTAGTTAAATAATTTCATTTGAATATGAGTCAAAACAATGTTTTTCTTTTTTACTACAACTAAAATATTTGTATACTACATATGCATATGTTTTACCTAACGAATACCTTTTTTTTTTTGCTATCGTAAAGAATAATAAATCAAATCATTGAACCGAAACTAAAGTCACAGACGAGCACTTTTTTTTCTCAATATACAAAACAGACACGAAAAAAAGACAACATTAAAAATACGAAGAGAGAGAAAGAGAAGAGAAAAAAGATTTATAGTTGTTTAGCAAGTAATTGACATCGATCGTGTTCTCCAACAAGACTAGCTAAACGTACACTATCATATTTAATATAAATAATTTCATTATATCGTTGATAGCCTTGTTTACGAAATGCTTTAGCTGAATAAAGACTTGTTGCTTCAGTAAAAGCTCCTTTGATATTAAATTCATTTTTTGCTCGTTCTAAACTTGCATGAATTAATTTTTCCGTTAATCTTAGACCACGATAATGTGCATCAATAGCTATAATAACTGTATGTAATAAATGATCTGTATTCATTTCTTCAAATAAATCAATATTATTATGAACGTGTTGTAATACACTTAATATAAAACGTAATTTTTCTGATTGAAAATTTTTTATATCAAATTTATCTTGATTATTATTAATTGTTGTTAATGGTAGACGATATTTTATTATATTTAATATAACACCAATAATATTTTCTGTTTGAATATCAATAGCAACAAATGAACATTGATCTTCTAAAGCTATTGATATGACAAGTTCAACAAATTCAATCGGTTCATTTGGAAGATCAAATGCAAGACATTTATTTAATGGTTCATCACGAAAAAATGTTTCGATAACAAGTTCAAATACTTTTTGGCGGTGTTCATTATTCATTACACGTAAATCAATTTGTGGTGATTCAAACCATGTTGCAGAATAAGGTGGTGTTGATGGACATGATGATGTTGGAGATTCACTAGTTGATGAAATTGAATCACATAAATCATTTAGACGTTTTCGTAATAGAGATGAATGCATTAGAAAGTATTTAATAGTTTATAGACAAATAATAAACGCTCAAGAAATTATGTGTTCTATTATGTTTTATTATAGAGCAAAATGAACTATTGGAAACAAATGGAAGCATCTCGCTTTTATTATTTTTCTCAGTAGGCAGCAAAGAACTATAGAATAGAAAAAAACAAGAATGGCATCTAATCTTCTTCAATTTGTCATCCATGTAGAAAGATAGAATAGGAAGATATAACTTAGGCCACATCCTTTATTGTATTTGACGTTTTTTCTTTTTATGTTTTTCCATTTTATTTTTTCACTACAATAAAGTCATCATTTCTTTCCTTTCCCTCCTCTCCCAACCTTAATTACATTCACATATTGATCGTGAATACAAGTATGTTTGTATGTATACATTCATCATAAACTGCATTAAAGCAATGAATAAATAAATATTACTCAAGGGGAAGAATAGTGGCAAAACTAATCAATCGAAATTATTGACAAAAAAGAAAAAAAGAAAAAGAAAGAAAACAAAGTAATTTTTCTCCGCGAGAGAGCGAGAGAGAGAGATTTTTCTCGACTTATTCATTAAAATCTTTTTTAATTAGAAAAAAATACGTATGAAAAAAAAAAGAAGAAAACATGAATTAACACAAACGGAGACAAAGCAAATCGATAGGGATAAAGGTATTTTTCTTTTCTTGCAAATCTATATATATAGAACAAATTATTTTTCTTTATAATAAAAAAAAACAAAAAAAAAAGAAGAGAGAGAGAGAAAAAGAAATAGACCAACTATAGAGAGAGAAAAAGAGGATGACCAAACATATAGATGTAGAAACGAGAACAATGCTGATTCATTTGTTTGTTTTCTCTAACTCATTTCACACATCATAGCACCTTGACTAATAAAAGAAAAAAAAAAGAGACGAGTAGTTTGAGCATGCGTGCACACACAAGAGTATAACAAAACTACTCAATGAGAGAGAAAGAAAATATAATAATAATAAAAAAATGAATGAAATTCTCTAGCATATATGCATATAAATAAAAAAAAAGAAGGAGAACTTTTATAATTTTTGTTCGATCTAATATTTATTTGATGCGTTGTTTTTTTTTTGTCTTAAACGACTTCAATATGCCAAGGAGAACCAGGAATATGTTGATCGCCCCATTTAACAACCAACATATATTCACCCCTTTCTCGTACAGTCTAAAGATAAAAAAAAACCAAAATATTTTTTTAATTTTCGAATATCAAATAAAAATAAGTATTTACATATTGGACATTATATTGATTATTTCCAACATGTTTAATAAATACTTCTTCACATGGACATTTCGGACCGAATACACCTACCATTAACATACCATTTCCTTTAAAGTAAATTAATTAAATAGAAATTTTTTTTTTTACAAAATCAAAATCAAATCTTACCACCGTCACGTGTATCTACTGTAAATATAGCTTTTTCATTTCGATAAGCACGTAATAAACCCTCTCCATGTGCTCGTACTCGAGTTGCATCTATACTTGCATAGTTACTTCGTCCACTTGCATATGATGATGATTGTTCAACTGTATCATATTTTGAATGACTTGCTAAATTTCCCTGTGAACGTTGAACATATGATGATGATGTACTCATTGAACCCAACCCACCACGACTAGCATTTAAATTCATACCTAAATATAAATAGTTAATCAAAACCTTTTGTTTTGTGTGTCTGACATCTATTATCTTTTACAGAATATTTCAACTTTATCGGACAAATGTAGATATGCACCGTGATTTAGAGGTCGTCAGATTCAGACTCGATTTAGTCAGCAGTTTTTGGATCCGGACCCAGGTTAATGAAAATTTTCGAGATCTGGACCCGGTCTATTGAACATTGTGAGAATCCGGAAGCAGTTTATTGAAATTTTTTGGGTTCCAGACCCGACTTATTGAACATTATTTTGGACTCAGCAGGTTCTACTGGTATTCAGCTGGAATAGTATCTAGACGAACGTGGGTATCCAACTGATCTAATCTTCAATCGTATTAGGATTGGTGTATGTCTAGACAAATGTCCTCTTAGTATACTAATAAGAATATTTTGTGTCAAATAGGTTTTGTTTGTTTTTGTTTTAACTAAATCGTTTTTATTATTAGACCATATTAGAAATAATTACCTCCGACCAAACACTTAAATGGACTGCCAGCAATATTAATTCCGGCAAATTTAATCGTAATGAGATAATCGCCGGGTGCTGTTGGTGTAAAGCTTACACGATAACCTAATCATATAAAGAATAATTTATCTAGAATATAATTATATAATAAACAAAAAATTTCTACCTTCAGAAACTTCTCTACAATCAAGTTGAACTTTTGATGGTCCATCAACAGTAACAGCTAATGCACCAGCACCAGCATTCATTGTATCAATTAAAAATTCACATGAAGCACCTTGAATAATTGAAATAGAATTTTTTTTTTTAAATTTCGTTTTTTTTTTTTATTTTTTACCTGTTTCTCCTTGATATAAACCAGAACCTGATGCAAATACTCTTCCTGGATCAGCATTAGCATGACCAACAACAACACGAAATGGTGAATCAGGTATATCACGTCCATTAAAACGAACATGTACCCAATGAACACCATTTTCTCGTGGTATAAATCGAATAGCATAATGTTCTTAAAAAAAAAAGAAAAAAAGAAAATTATTTTTTTTTTCGTATTAATTTAAATAAATGTTTTCTTTTTAAATATTTACCATCGCCCATTTCTTGTACAATACAAGTATCTTCTGCACCACTTGGTGCTGTTACACGAGCATCAAGACGACCACGTGCACCATTTACATTAACAGTAAACATACATGGTTGATTAACTGCATGTCCTTTACCTTGAAGACTTTGTACTGTTAATCTTTTAACATCACCAAATGGTGAACCAATTAAAACATTAAATGGTGAATCAGGTATATGTTCATCATTAAATTTAATTGATACTTGATATTCACCTGGTTCAGGACATATATATGATACACCACATGAACCATCTTTACGATCAAAAAAGTCTATTTCAGCTTTAGCTGGTCCTTCTATTGCAATAGCAAGACCACCGGCACCTGCTTCACGTGTATAAATATTAAATTCATCTTAAAAAAACAAACAAATTTTTCATGTTAACAAAAATAAAAAAAAGAACATTTCATTTTATTTTGATCTTACTAGTTATATTAACTTCTCCACGTGCAAGACCATTTCCACTAGCACGAACTTTATGAGCACCGCCACCTTGTATTGGACCAACAGTAAATTCTATATGATATCAAATATTTATCTTTTTTATAAAAACCACAAAAATAAAATTCTATTTACCAAAAGGACTGCCTGGGATATGCATATCCTTATGTTTAACACTAACTGTATGAACACCCATTTCTTTCGGGATAAATTTAATTGAATAATTGCAATCATCGAGATCACTATATAAAATATAAAACAGAAATTTTTCAAAATTTTTATAACAAATTCTTAAACTTACACAATCTCGCAACTTTCTAAATGTCCCGATGGGCTTGTAACATAAGCGCTCATATCAAATGGTGAAGTGCCTAAATAAAAAAAAATACCCAATGAAAACATTTTATTATTCAAATAGAATATTCAAAAACAAAAAAATTCTATTTGTTTTCGTATGAAATAAAAATTAATAAAACCTGGAAGTGTTTGAAATTTAAACCCATGAAAATAGGGTACATTATGAAAATGTTGTGCGCCAGTTTGTGCTTGTCGACTTGTACTGCTCATTTTTGAATATGCAGAAGATGCATTCAATTTTTGTCTAGCTGCCAAACTATCACTTAATAATGCATTGTTACGATCAAATACAGATGATGAACTTGAATTAAGACGATTAGCATATGAATAATTTCTATCAGAATCAATATTGCTTGGATAAAATGTTGGTGATGATGATAATGGTTGTCCCCATGTTTGAGATTGTTCTTCATGTTCACGATGAACTATTGGTTTTTCATTATTAACTTGTGACATTGAATAAGCTTGATAAGATGAACGATGTTCACCACCACTTGTACTTTGCGGAATATTACCACTGAGATACATTTATTGTTTTTTTATTCGTATCTTTTATTAAACAACTGGTTAGTGTTTGGTGGCAGCTTTCCTTTTGGTTGGTATGCTTATATGTATATGTATATGTGGGCTTCTTAGTTTTTTTTTCTGTTGCTATAATAACACTAGCAGTTGTCTTAACATCGACACCGAAATAAACATAGATTTATTCTATATCATCAATGCAAAGAACGATAGTTGATGATACGACGTACCGAATTCTTTCTCTTCTTTCTTTTTTTTGTCCTATATTTGTCGTCGTTATCCTACTCCTCCTACGTTTCTTTTATGTTGATGTCGAGTGAGAAAATCTCATCTATCAGAAAGAAACTAGCATCATCGGAGATAACATTGTTAACGATGTCGTCGGAGAAACCACTGATAATAAATGTTTGAGACATTTATAGATAGACAAACAGATAAATTCTTTGAGGCAGTTCTTTTCTTTCCGCCTACAAACATTGTTTACAGACCAAATAGGAAACGACCAGAAAAACAAATAAAAAAAGAAAAGAGGTAGAATAATACATACCAGGAATCTTTAGTGATAATTCACATTGACTACCAATATGTGTTATATCAACAGCACGACGTTCTCGAATAATACTTTCTTTAAGTCGACCAGATCCTTGGCCACCAACATTGACCGTAAATGGACTACCTAACAGATAATAAAAAAACACAAGAAAGATTAATTATAGACCGCACAAACCAAGGTTTATTAGGTCTCAAGCTAGTATTATCATAGAGTATAATTAGATTGTTAACTAAGCCTAAGGGAACCTTCTAATAGATAATATCAATCAAAATAAAACTCAAACAAGAGACGACAACAGAATGACGTATTCATTGACTAAACTAATTTAGTCAAACAAGCGTTAGAAAATTATTCAGGCTTCATGCATGAAATAATTCTTTTCAAGGTTATAATTAGGATCAAAAGAATTCTCTTATAGACATTATTAGTCCAAATATTATATAGAGAAGTATAAACAAGATTTATGTTATCATATCAGATTTCTTTTGTTTCTTAATTGAAGACGAACCTGGTACATGTTTATCAGCAAATTTGACATTGATAATATAAATGCCTGGTTCAGTTGGTTTATACGTAACAAGACATGAACCATCTTCATTATCGTGACATTCAATATCCGCTTTTGATGGACCTTCAATTGAAAGCGACAAGCCACCATAACCTAATGAAATAAAAAAATTCGTATTTTGTAAAAATTTTATTTTATAACTCACCAGCATCACGTGTAACAACAGTAAACTCATTTGTTTGATGTGCATAACCTAAACAGAATAATATTTAAAAAAAAAAACAAAAATAAACGTTTTTGTTTTTACCTTCTTGTAAACCACGTCCATAAACTCGAACTTTACTAGCATCACCAATTTCAGTTGAACCAACATGAATACGAAATGGACTATTTTTAATATGTTGACCATCACGATAAACATTAACTAAATGATCACCTATTTCACGTGGTATAAATGATATACCAAGACTTCCATTAGCTAATTTTTTTAATATACATGGTTCTTCAAAACCACTTGGTGAACGTATTGTTGCACGTAAATCATGTATATCCATTTCCGTTACACGTAAACTAAATTCATTTTGATTACCGACCAAAACCTGTGAACGTTTATATTGATCTATTGGTGGTACACCACCAGTTATTTTAGCCGTAAATGGTGAACCAACAATATGTTTATCAGCAAATTTAACTGTTATTGTATATTCACCTGGTGCAGTCTTGAAAAAAACAGAGAGAGAGAATGAATAAATATATAGGCCAATTTATTCGTTAACGATATGACTTTGGAAAATTAGAACATGTGTATCTCGAAATAATAAATTTTTCTAGAACTAATTTTTATATGTTGCATTTTATGTTAAGTTACTCCAGATAATCTGGAAAAATAATCAGTTGCAATGACCTTTCTTTAGAGGAATTATTACTAAAAAAACCAGCGTTAGTGGCAAGATTCAAACAAAAGGAGGTTGACTTTCACTTCGCGAATACTCCGAATTGATGCAAAGACCTAGATTTTTCTCAAAAATCGATTTACCCTCCCGTTAGCAACGTAATAGAGTACGAATATACAAATGATAAAAATGCTCTTATAACCGAATGAGAAGCTCAAAAGTAATTCCGGACTGATACAAATCCTTCTTCAGAATCACTAGCTGATAGTAAGGCAAAAATTCTTGTTTCAGGACTTGATCATTTTTTCTTATGATAAAAGAGCTTTTCGCTAATTACTTTTTAATTAATAGTCACATACAGTGGATACCGAGATTATTCAACAAGGTTTATTTACAATTTTAAGTGTTAGAAACAATTCAAATAGTGATTCGAGTAGATAAAATGTAAAGAAATAAAAATTATTATCAGATTTCCAAAGATAGGAGCTTTAGAAAATCAAAACCCTAGTTTTTCAATATCGCCAATGCTTAAATATAATTTGATTTAGGCTACATAGAATGATAGAACAAACAATTTTCTATGAAAATGAGATGCTTTCGAGTTCTCTACGATGTTTTTTTAGCTGAGATACATCAATCTTACGGAAGCCCACGGAGTTGTTTGTAGAAATGCTATTTTTTTGACCTTCAATCAAATTACTCTATCTCAGTCCAAAGAAAACTCGGAGACATCTCATTTTGTAGACAATTATTTTCTCTATCATTCTATTTAGAAAAATAATTCTTGTAACAAAAAAAAAACAAAGTCAAATGAAAGGTGAATGTATGTTGCGTTCTGTCTGAAATGTCCTTATAAATACAAAATTATTTAAATTTTAATTACCGGCCAATAAGTAACATCACATGTACCATCTTTATTATCTTTACATTGAATTTCAGCTTTTGAACTACCTTCAACAGCAACTGAAAGACCACCCGAACCAGCATCTTTTGTAACAATACGAAAACTACATGCTTCATTACAAACACCATGACTAAGACCAGGTCCATATGCTGTAACATAACCTGTTTGAACTTGATCAACATGAAATTTAAATGGTGAACCAGCTATTGGTTGTCCTTGATAGAAAACGTCAAGTTCATGTAAACCAACTTCGGATGGTTGATATTTAATTGAAACAGTTCCATCTTGATTATCGTCAAGAATTGGTGTATGAATTCGACCAGATGGTGTTCGAATTAATGCTAAGAAAAAGATATTAAAAAGAATTTTTTTTTGTTTTATAAAAGATTAATACCTTCAAAATCCATTTTACTTTCTTTGAGTATACACACACGCAGCTGTGCTTACGTGTGTTAAGCTCAATCAAATATGCGTAACAATTACTTTCTTTCGGGCTGTTTACCTCATCTCACCAAACGTTCAGTATAGCGTAATTCGATCTCATTTCATTCTTTTTTTTTTTACTTTCTATTTAGTATCTTTCGTCGTCGCTTTTTTTTTCACACTGTTTATATGCAGAACGACGAGCACCGGAAGCATACATACAAATTCTTTTCATTCATTCTTATCAATACATACAGAAGGTGAAATATTAAAAATGAAAGAAGAGAGAGAGAGAGAGAAAAGGCGAAAACCTTGTTTTATGATGGTTTATCACAATAAGTTTATTTATATTTGTTCAATAAAAAAAAAACAAATAAAGAGAAAGTATATCATCATAAAAGAAGAATTCGAATGAATAAAAATTATTGAATTCATTGAAAGATTACTTTCGATATTTTGATATATTAGATCTGATTAGAGAAAACTTTTACTAACAATATTCAGATCAAAAACTCAAACGAATTTTCAAATCCAGATCTGATAGACTGTAGGCAACAGCCAAGATCAAGTTTTTTTTTTATGGAAAAAAAGATCCTGTTGTGGTTTATTGCATTTTCAACACTTATCGAAGATTGACATGCGGTTTGATATGAGTCGGTCATCTTTTTTTTTTTTTTGTTGTCAAAGCTGTAAAAATTATACTTTTGCTAGTGAATCTAAAAAGAAAACTGCTGAATGCGTTACCGTAATGCTTCTTTCCAGGAATAAATTCTAACATTATGAGGCCTGCTGTCTTAACTATCAATACAAACGAAAATATTTTGTTGAGAGTGAGAAAATTTTCAAGAATATGAACTTTTTTCTAATAGACGTAATATGAGCTCAAACGGTAAGTTTCAATTCATATGATTCCTTCGTTAGTAAAACTACGAACCTAACAGACATAAAGTTAATCATATAAAATAAAGACGACCGATAGAAATATTACATAGATCAATAATTCCGATAGGCTCCCACGGGACCGGATTTTTCTTTAGTTTCGAGCAAAGCCACAATCACCTGATTCGTGCTTTTAAAAAAAAGAAAAGCAAATATGTTAGGATGCCCTGTCACAATTTTTATCTATTACTATCGACACAAACTGATTACAGAATCTAATAGATTATCATACTATCCTTCATTTCATTCAACAAATTGTCAATATGATAACGTCAAGTTTATATACGAAAAGAAAAGTATATATACATACCACTAATGTCACCAAATTGACCACCACCAACTGGTAAACGAAAATCAACAGGTCGATATTGACTTGGTGTATGTCGTGATGTAATAGTTTCAGTTATTTGTGTATCTCGATAATATTTATCACCGTCACCAGCCTTTATTAAAAAAAACAAGAATTCATTAATATATTTAATGTAAGAAAAAGAAAAATTGTTAAGCAACATTGCAAAAAAAGAAGAAGCAAAAGCATATTACCATTGAAAAATGGAATAGCGGATAAATTTTAGTCATTGTTTTTTTTTTTTGTCAATGTCAAATGACAAAAGAAAACGTTATATTTGATATCTTTCGAAATAGTGTCCGGAAATGATTATACCTATAAGCGGTTTTTTTTTCTTTATCTTTTAATGTGACACTTCGATCTATAATCTTTTTTTTTTCGAGTGTTGCATATTTTAAAACAAAATGTGAGGAAGAAGAAGAAAGTGATCTGTGTATTGATTAGTTAGACATGAATATGTGATAATTATATCTATACATCTAAAGTCTAGCATACCCTGATATCTGTTGTACCCTAAAAGAAGAAGAAGAAGAAGAGGGAAAGCAATTTAATCGAGCTTGTTTATTTGTTTTTTTTTGTTTCTGTTACACACAGAATAACAGCAATTGATGAAGTTTTTTTTTTTTTGCATTATGCCTACCATGGATGGAAAAGGCTAAATGGTGTTAGTGGTGTGTTTTTTTTTGATCGGAAACAGCATTTTTGTTAGTATAAAAGAAAGACAAGAAATTCTTTTCTTCATTTTTTGAAACTTACCGTTACAACAAAATCACCACCTGGGATATCTTGTCCACCAAATTTAATTTTAATAACATAATTTCCTGGATTATGTGGGGTATAAAATAAATTAAATGTTCCATCTTCATTATCGACAATATCAATATCAAGATCATTGCCAAGTGTTGAACGTATACGACACGTTACAGCACCTGGACCAGCTTCATGAGTATCAACTGTAATTGTATATTCTTCACCGACTTGAAGATTAGGATTAGTACCAGTGCCTAAAAGAAAATATTTCTTTCTTTTTTAGTTTTTCAAATAATTATTTTTGTTTTTTATTATTACCAGAAATATGGCATTTCGTTGGATCTCCGATTGGTTCCACTTTCACGTTATATGGTGAATTATTAATTGGGACACCACCATAATTAACATTAATTAAATATCGACCAACATCATTTGGTTTATATGTAACCTTATATGTACCATCTTTGTTATCAACAATTTTTGATTGAACTAATTGGCCTTCAGGATTCTAAAATATATAATTGAAATAAGTAAAGTAAAAACAAAAAACAAAAAAAACGTGAAAAATTTTTTACTTTAATTAAAACGTCTGGATGTTCAAAACCAGCTTCACGTGTATCAATACGAAAGTATGTTTCAAGTGATGCTGGAATACCGTTATGAATACCAGGACCGTCAACAATAACTTTATGTGGTTCAAAATGAGGAAGTACTTGAACGTTAAATGGACTAAATAAATACATTTATTTAAATTTAAACGAAAAAAAAAACACCATTTTCATTTAATTACCTGTGACGTACTGGTTGATCACTCCAATTAATATCGATACGATGTGGACCTTCAATTTGTGGTGTAAATTCTGCAACGTAAACACCGTCACCTCTTGGTCGAATACTTGCTGGTTTATGACGATCTATGATAATAATAAAAAATTTAAATTATTTTATCGACTAAACAATAACGATCAAATTTCAGAACTTTTTTCATATATGCTTGGCTATATATATATATATATATATATATATAACGAAAGAGAGAATAAATGATGGTGAAGAAAAGGTTAATGAAATGCGATTATATTGCAATGGTAGTACCATCTGTCTCTCATTTCTATGTTATTACTTTCTTTCGTTGATTCTATTTATAAAATATTCTTTTCGCTTTCATTATAACCTTTAAGTAGATAGACATAAAATCGTTGTTTTCATTTTTCGTTCTCTTTGTATGACTTTCAATAAAAAGAGAAAAAAAAGAAAAGCATAAATTTCTTTTGTGTCTATGAATAACGTAATCATCTTTATTATACAATATGTTTTGTTTTATAAGTTAAAATAATAAAAACTTACCATGTACATCCGTAATATCAACAAATGGAGTACCAGGTCCAGCTGCTTGACCATCGATCAAAATTTCTTGTAAAACATTAGCACGCATAACTGGACTCATTTTAACATTAACACGACCAGCATCAAGTCGATCACGTACAGGAACTCGAAATGGTGAACCTATAATTAACACATTCTTATATATATATATATATCCTATGTAAATAAATTATTCATTTACCTGGTATATGTTGTTCAGCAAATTTAATTGCAATATCATATAGACCAGCTTTGGTCTAAAAAACCAAAAAGTTTCAAATTTTTAATAGAATTTTTAGGTGTATTTATCATACAGGTAAATATTCCATAATACAAGTACCATCTTGATTATCTTTACAAACCATTTTTGCTTCTGATGGTCCTTCAATAGCTAAACCAAGACTACCTTGTCCAGCACCTTTTGTTTCAATAGTAAATGTTGTTGGTTCATTTGTTGTTGCCTGTTCAAGACCAGGTCCATATGCACGTACACGCATTGGATCACAACCTGGAATAGCATTAACACGAAATGGACTACCCGGTACAGGTATATTTTCATATGTAACTTCAATTTGATGTATGCCTATAATAAATAAATAAAAATTCATTAAATAATATTTATTTTTTTTATTCATATTTTTAATTACCTGGTTCATAAGGTGCATATTGAACTTGATAAGTACCATCAGCCATATTTTTCACAGGACATCGTACAATTCGACCACTTGGTGATGTTAATAAACTTTCAACACGTCCTGCACCACTACCAGTAACTGATTTAGCATCAACAGTAAATTCCGTTGGACTTTCAAGAAAAACTCCTAAAGATAAAAACAAAAAAAAAATAATCATTAACAAAAAAAAAAGAAAAAAAGGAAACAACAATTCAACATCATGCATTACAACATACAATTCATCATCGTTACAATTTTTCGAAATAAAAAATAAAGAAACGATTAATACGAAACATACGAGACATATTTATATATATATATATATACATATATCTCATAAATTTAAACACATCAAAACAGAAGCCATAATTCATGCGGGCGAAATGAGACAAAGGAATATAATATATAGTACATGCAATATCATTGATTAGATATATATTGTTGTTGTATCCATATATAGTGTACACACCCTTGGGATCAAGACCAGGTCCATAACAACGAATGCCTCGTGTGTCAAGATCAGCTCGTACAGCAGCACGAAATGGTGATCCTGGTATATGTTTTCCTTCATACAATATATTAATATTGTAATTTCCAGCGACTGTATATAATCAATGTTTAATATGTAACGAAACGATGATTAAAAAAAAATGCTACCTGTTGGATGATAGGTTACACGACAACTACCATCATTATTATCTTGATAATCAATTTTTGATTCTGATGGTCCTTCAACTGTTATACCCAATTGACCATTACCAGCACCACGTGTATCAACAATAAAATCAGCTGGTTTATTAACTGTACCCTGTGATAGACCTGGTCCATATGCACGTACTTTATTTGGATCAAGTGGTTCAATAGCTGTTACTTGTACAGGGCGTAATGGTAACGTACATACATCAGGTTCAATAACATATGGACCTGGTTCAGGTACATTAAAACGAAGATGATATCCTTGTGGTGCAGGTGCTACAACAGCTTCTTGTGTATTGCCTGTTGGTCCAGTAATTTTTGCATGTACCGCATTTGGCGGTAATGGACCAGCTGCTAATGTATTTAATGTTACCTGGGCAGGCTGTCCAACAATAGGCACTAGGATGGATGATAGAGATAGAGTGCGTGTGTAGAAAGAAAAAAAAATAAGGATCTAGGTATCAATGCGCACACAAAAACCATTTAGAAGAAAAGTAATTATTATTAGTTTTTTTTTTTTAATAATCTAAATCTATTTCAATAAATAAAACAAGAAAATACTTACTTGTATCAAGACCTTCAACACGTATTTTACTAATATCAACACTTGGTTCAACATTAACTTTAATTGGTGATGTTGGTATTTCACTATCACCAAATAAAACACTTATACAATGTACACCTGGCATTTTCGCTGTATATGCAATTCGAAATGTTCCATCTTGATTATCATCAATAGTAAATGGTACATCTTGATTTTTTGGATCAGTTAATGCAATTGATATATCGCCTGAAAAATTAGTATTTGCGAAAATAGATGTTACAGCAGTGGACAAAAGTCCCGTTCTCTGCGTTCGCTTCCGGAAGGGCAAACACCTATTGTGGGAACACAAATACATGGCACAATAACCACAAACTTCAAGAAGGCTAACTCGATCTTCGAAGGAAGGGGTGCCACTCTCGCGTTAGATAAAACACTGATTATGATAAATCGCATCTATTTATTCTTTTAATTTCATAACTCTGAAAAATCCTTTCTAGAATTGTAGCCATTTTTCTACGACCATGCTAGTGGGAAAAAAGCTATCTATTGGCCTTTGGAGACTATAAATCATAAGGGAATTTTTTCAGATGTCAAATTACTTTTCGATCAAGGTGATGTGTATTTGATGAGTACTCGAATGATTTGATTTTCCAGGCCTTCATTCTTAAGATATTGAAATATTACTGAATTTCTCAATAAAAAGTTGTGATCACGTGAAAAATCGACCTTCGATGCATGAACAAAATTCTCAATAAGATTAGTTCAGTGTACAACTAGTATCTCCTATCCTGAGATATTCATTATTCAAAATTCTCTCATATGTAAAAACGAATATTGTACATCTCCAGACAGGAAATACTAGTTGCACAATTAACTAATCTAATTGAGACTCTTGTTCGTGTATCGAAAGTCGATTTTTCACGTGACCACAAATATTTGTTGCAAAATCCAGTAAAATTTCGATATCTTGAGAACGAACATTCGGAAAATCAAACCATTCTACACCCTTATATCAAGAATTAGTTCTGTATTTGATTTCAGATTTCCAGCATGTATACTAGCCGAGATACGAGAGGAGGGAAGACACTTTTGTCTATTTGTTTTTTTACCTGGTCCAGCTTCTTTACAATCAACAATAAAATATGTTGGATTATTCATTTTAACACCACGTTCAACACCAGGTCCATAAACACGAACTTTTGATGGATTCGATGGTTCTGTTGGCCAAACCTAAATTTGAATAAGTATATATTTATTATTATCATTTTTGATAAGAAAAAAAGAAATAAATTACTCGAAATGGACTATTTGGTATAGCAACACCACCATAATCAATTAAAATCGAATGACGTAAAGGATTTCGTGGTGTATAACGACATGCATATGTTCCATTACCATTATTACGAACTTGTACATCAACTGGTTGATATTCTTGATCAATAGCTTGAACACGTAATGGTGCTTCACCAGCATTATTTGTATCAATTGTAAAATCAGTTGGTTTACCAATAATTTGTCCCGATGGTTCAAGTCCTGGACCATAAGCTTTAACCTAAATATAATGTTTTTTTTTATCAAATTCAAATAAAATAAATTTTTCATTTTCTTTTTTTTTTACTTTATTTGGATCAAAATTTCCTGGTGCTTCAATCCAAGCCATATATGGTGATAATGGTATATCTTCATCATTACAAAGAATGTGTACTGCATATTCGCCAGGTACTGTTGGCCAATAACGTACATTAGCTGAACCATCACCATTATCCTTACATTCAATACGTGCTTGTGATGGTCCTTCGATTGAAAAACCTTGAAAAAAGAAAAACAAACAAAAAACATATTTTCTTTTTTTTAAGTAAATAGGAACCAAATAAACATCATGCTTTCAAAAGGGGAATACACAAACACAGATAAAAAAACCTAAGAACAGGGGTACAAAATGACTTACTTATATCTCCTAATGAAAATAAGTTAATACAATTGTAAAATTAGCAAAATAAAAAAAGAAAGAAACGTTAAAATTAAAATACCTAATGAACCAGTTTCTCCATTTGTTTCAACAACAAAATCAGCTGGATAACCAACAACACCACCTTCAAGACCTGGACCATATGCACGAATACGTGAATCTTTATATGGTCCAACTGCAACGGGAAATGGACTTCGTGGAATATGTTGACCACCATATGTTATATTAACTGTATGTGGTCCAACTTGATTTGGTACATAACCACATTCGTAAGTTGTATTATTAGCTTTTGTTACACGACAAGGAAGGTCATTGCCATCTTAAATCCGAATAATTTATTATAAAAAATAATTCAAAATCAAACAATAGAAATTCTACCTGGTCCAGTAACTGTTGCTTTCATAGCACCTTCACCAGCATCTTTAGTAATAACACGAAAATCAGCTACATCACCTGTACGAACACCTCTTGGTTGAATACCTCGTCCAAAAGCACGACATTTCTTAGCATCAGATGCTAAAAACAAAATATTTTCATAAAATCTTCTAAAATACTTAATGAATTGTATTCTAGTGATGTAATCAAACTAGGGACTTGCTTTTAAGTCTTCCTATCAATAGTTGAGTTTTTCTTCAAAATGCGTTTAAACTCTTTCTAAAAATGTTACTAGAGGGTCTTTGCCCGACCCAATGTTTATTTCTTTTTTTCAATGCATTTCCCAGACAGAAAAAATCTTATGGGACCGGACTCGGATCTAACATAGTAGAAGTCGGGCCGAGCCAGACTCTAATACAGTAGATGTCGGATTGGATCATCATGATTTCGAGACCTCCTATCATTTCATAGAATTTTTTTTTGAAATACATACATGATGCAACATTAACACCATATGGACTATTTGGTATCGGTCGACCAGCAAAGAAAACATTAACTGAATGAAGACCAGGTTCACGTGGTACATATTCACAACGAAATTTTCCTGGACCTGTTTGTTTAACTGATACAGGCACTGCATCTTGTCGACCACGTGGATTAACAACAATAACCTCAGCAAGACCATTACCAGCATCTATTTATATGATTAAACAAAAATTTTAAGAATAAATAAAAATTCTTCAACAAACTTGTAGCATCAATTTCAAACCATGTTGGTTTGTCAACCATAACACCTGTTGGTTCAATACCTGGTCCATATGCACGACATTGACCAGCATCACCTGCTTTTCCTTCAATATAAGGTGAAAATGGTGATTTGGGCACTTCTTGTCCACCATATTTAACAATAACCTAATGAAATATATATTTTTATGTAAAATTTTTTCTTTAAATTGAATTCAAATTACTTTATATTGTCCTTCCATTGTTGGATAATAAGTACAATCATATGTTTGATTTTTATCATTACGAAATTCAATGTCACACTAAAAAGAAAAAAAAAGAACAAAAGAAATAATTGAAATATTTGATAAAAATTAAATCTTCCTACTTTTTCTCGTTGACCTTTTGGATTAATAACAATAACTTCAACATTACCTTCACCAGCAGCAAATGTTTCAACATGAAATTTTGCTGGTGCATCAACTTGATTACCACTTGGTTCAATACCTTTACCATAACATCGTACACGTGCTGAATTTGTTTTTGGTTTAATTGGTGCACCTGGTTTTAATTTAGCACTTGGATATTGTGATAAATATGTCATCATTGATTGTTCATCAACTTTTGGATTAACCATTTCATGTGGTTGAATTAATTGTGGAATACCTAAATAACGTTCAGCTGCATCCATAGCTTCTTTAGCATTTTCTAATGCATTTCTTGGATCACGTTTATTCCAATCCGGATAAAGACCTATTCAAAAGAATAAAATAAAACATTCTTCTAACATTCTAAATATAAAATATACCTGGTGCACATGCATCAACAAGTGCACCAATAGCACGACCATCATTCCAATCGGATGTAAAATTTGTAATTGGTAATTCAGGTGGTAATTTTTCTTGTATCCAATTCATAAGTTTTTGTTTAGGTGTTGCATCACGTCCTAAACCAGGTGCATCTGGTTGTTCGAATTCCCACATTGGTAATGATATTGAATAATGTAAAATAAGTGTCCATATTAAACCAAGAATTAATTTTAATTTACCATCAACAATATGTGTAGCATCTTAATAATAATACATAGAAGCAAAAAAGAGAGAGAGAAATGTTTATCTTGAATTTTTACACAAAAGCGATAAACTTTATGACTGATTCTTTTTTTTTTTGTTGAGTTTATTCAAACAATTTTTTTTGGTCTGTTTAATATATAGTGATACGTCAAAAATCAAAAATTTTTATAAAACAATATATTAAGATTTAGATTTTATAAAAAACCAAGAATAGAAATTGAAACCATTAGTCAAGGAATAGTACATAATGTTTTATAGGAATTCAAAAAATGCATTTGATTCAAGGAGAGCAACCTTAAACTGTATTTACCGAATTGACTTGTCTAAATAAAACAAATTCTCACTCAGATTAAATACATCCTTCTACCACTATAATTACACATAATCGAGATAGTTAAAATTCTTATCAATAAATTAGGTTGAATATCAACGTTAATTCAGAATACAAAAACTTGTTGGCTTTTTTTATTCAATACATATCGAATAAAAGTTGTATTATTGCTTTTAGTCTATCATTGAACTGCATATATGTAATGAAATTTGAAACGTTCTTTATAACACTACATTGTAAGACGTATAGACAATATTGATATAGGTGATTAACAATATAAAATCAAAAGAACTCTTTATACAAACGTAACAAAAAAAAATGAAAGTACTAAATCTTTTGTAAAATAAGAGAAAATCTTAACATACTCATCTCAAGTACTGTCCTTCTTTGCTATGGTTAAAATAAACATAAGGTTTTTTGTCCCTTTTTTTTTGATATATATTAACTTACCGATATTAACAAGACGTATACGTTCTGTATTTTCAAGAAAATCAAGTATAACAGATACATTTTCAAGTTTTTGTGAACGAAAATTTGGTCGTCGATTATATTTTGGTACACGTTTTTGTGATAAAACTTCAATTAATGCGATTAAATTTAACCCATCACTAAATTCCGATTGTAAATCATCACAATGACGATTAACTAATTTTAAATGTTCATTAGCCCAACGTGTAAATGTATTTTGTTGAATTCTTTTCCATGGTGCATCATCAGCTAATTCACGCTGCATATCTTCATCAAATTCTATACATAGGAATAAAGAGAATGCAATGTAAAGATAAGAAGAAAAAAAACACACACAACAAAAAAAACGAAAAAAAAAACTATTTTTTTTTTCTGTTACTTTTATTTACCTTCTTCTGTACGTCCAAATTCGTCTTCTTCAATTAGTTCACCTTGTTCGTTGTATTGAGGATTTTCAATGTAGCCAGGACCGCCTCCTCCTCCACCTGAATAGCCGTTTGGTGACTGGTTGTACATGGTTGACAATCTCTTTCTTTTTTTTCTCCTTTTTTTTTGTGTTCTTTTACTTTACTAACGCAAGGCTGCGGTAATTTTGGTGGTTATACGTTTTCAAATCGTAAATGTGATTCACCTAATAGATGAAAGAAAAGAACAAATGAAATTTTTCAAAAAAAAATGTTTTGTATTTAGCGTGTGTGTGTGTGTGTGTGAAAGAGAACAGAATAAATCTCCATCGCCAACGTCTATTAGCGAAGCAGTCAACATACATACAAAAGAGAAGAGAGGCACCTGTGTAAGATGTGTGCATGCGATGAGATATTTTGATAGACAAAATAGCAACAACAGAGAATGACTTGAAATATAGACGATTACAAATGTATGTTGTATGTGTGTGTGAGAGAAAATGCCACTACTAGTTTTGTTTTATTGACTTCTTATCAAAAAAAAGAGAAGAGAGAGAGAATAAACGGCTTCTGTCTTTGTGTATTTTAATAATCATACTAAATTGTCTTTATGGGAATCACTAAAGCAACATAACCAATGAAACAAGTTAATGAGACAACGTTTTCTGAGAAGCGACATCTCTTCTTTAAAGAGAGAGAACAGATATACACAAGATGTTAGTTAGAAAGAAAAAAAAAATAAGCGAAGACTAAACCACAACAGATAGATATACTGATGAATGAATGTCAACTGGCCTATTGAGAAGAGAAAAAATATGGTTATTCCTGTGCTTACTGCTGCGCGCATTGCATCTCAAAATAGTCTATCTGTTTTTGTATATTATTCAACAAATTGTCAAATATAAAAAATCTCTATACATAAACTTCTAAGGTTTGATTATAATAGAATCAAAATCTAAATAAATTTATGATTTTTTTTTAATATTACATATTCAATCACTTATAACACCATTTCTTTTTCTCATTCATACAGGTGACAGAGTAAGGTACGTGCGTACGAGTATATTTATTTATTGTCATTATTATCTTCTTATAAGATGTATGACTCAAGTAAAAAACGTTTATTTATTCAAGGCCTTCTTTTCTTACTAGGCCACTATAGGAACATTTACACAAGTGTGTAGATTTTTACTATATATATATATATACATATATATATTTATATATAATGAGCGACATTTCATCATACGATAGCATATCGATGATCTTCTTTTTTTTTCTTTGTTTCTTTTGCTTCTCAAGACATGGCATTGTGTTGAGCAGTCGATGAGTGGCATCACTAATCTTTTGTATGTATAGAATAAGAACGCGAGAAAGTAAAAGGACAAACGATTTTTAAACCAAACGTACTATTCTCATCGTTTATTGGGTTTTTTTTTGTTAACCAAGCTATATTTATCATTGAATAATTGTACAACAAAAAAAAAAAAAAAAAAAAAACTTTGACATATACATAATTTTTTTATTGTTGTTATAAGAGGTCATCATATTTTTTTTTCTCTGTCTCTCTCTCTCTCTTTCTCTCTGTATTTCTTCTATATCATCAATGTTTTTTATTTTCAAAAGCTGGTTTAACTAAATTTCTACTTCATATAGACGTATGATTTGTGACCTTTTTTGTTTTTTCCTCCTATGAGAAAATTTATAATATTCAATTATTTATACTCACAGCACAAAGACCGATTTTTTTGCACTGTAGTTGTAATTGATGTTGTCGTTTTCGAGGGTTTTCGCTGCTGAGCAAGAGCTCCGCTAGCTTAAGTTGATAAGAAAACAACAAAAGAGTATATAGATGTGCGCGTTATGCGAACGTATATACGTGTGTGTGCGTCTGTACAAGATGCTATGTGCCCCGGATATGGAAATAACTCTAGCGTGGGTGGTAGTTTGTGTCGCAAGGAGAGGACAAACCTCAAGGAAAATAGATCGGTCTTTTTTTTTTCTTCTTCTTTTCTTGTACAGACAAGACCACAAAAAAAAAGAAAGCCATTCCGAATGAGTCGATATATCTTCTTTATAGGATATTAGTCGAGCGAACCAGAATGTTTCCTCCCTCTCTCTCTCTCTCTCTCTTTTATTCTTCTTCTACTGACGATCAGTCATAAATCGTAAGCTAGAACACAACAGTGATGTCGCTTAGTCCACAGAATCATCTAGAAGGAGAAAAGATCTATATACAAGAACGACGTAAACGACGACGACAACAACAACAACAATAACATAAGCAGATAATATGCCAGCGGTCTCAATCCATACAGAGAAATTCCTTTTCTTCCCACATACATATATATACAGACTAACAGGCAAAGTAGTACGAGAGAAAAGGATGGAAAATATTATATTGCTTCGCTATATATTGTCTCCACTGTTGTATCCTACATATCTATCATTCTTCTTTTTTTTCTAGCAATAAATTTACAGTACTATTGCTAGTATTAGTACACAAATAGAGAGAGATAGAAAAGAACATGACTGCCGAGTAGAATCTAACAAACACATAACCAAAAGAAAATTGTAGGCCAGAATTGTAACACTCTACCATTCTCTTTCTCTATTGGGTAAATGAATATTGTAGTTATGATGCAAAAATTGAAGAGTTCAAATACATATATATATATATATATCAATAATTATAAATATACATTTTCGAACAGGTGTACGATACAAATATGGCAGACATACGACTCTTATCTGATTAGTTTGTTCTCCTTCTACGTTTTCATTTTTTTCTTCATTGATCTACATGCTTTTTTCTTTTCTTCTCTCTCTCTCTCTCTATTTACCGGACAGCTCATAAAATCCAAAACATGAAAAAAAAAGTAAATGAAAGTAATCATCTATGCTATTTGTTTTTTTTTGCTCTGTTGTTACATTGAAAATGTCCTTGATCAATTGATCGACAATAACTATGGGATTATATTTTTTTGTAGTCGCAGTTACTTCTCTTTTTATTGTACGTGTTTGCGGGATGAGATGGTATTGATAAAAATGTTCGCTTTATTGACGCGTTAATTTCTCTATGATCAGTAACTTAGCATACGGAGAAAAACAAGAATGACAGATTCTCTGCAGGTGATGCTGTCTATAGACATTTCTCATGTTATTCCGCCTACGATGCATATCTCTCCAGTTTATATTATCATTACACTAATTGTGACTGCCTGTTGACTAAAAGACATTTTTTCCGATTATACATAAAACAAAAATAGATACTGTAAGTGATGTATTTATATTATCATGGTAAAAAATAAAAAAGTCCAACAGTAATTATTTGGCATACTTCTTTAATTGATTTTGTTGTTGAAAATAACTATAATTGAAATTTTAATTTTTTTTTCTATTCAATTATAATAGATATTGATTCTTTTCTAAAGTTTAATCTTCAATGTTTACGTTAGATCTTGTGTTATTATTTGATGTCATGCCAATCATTGGTATCGTGTGATTGTTTTATTTCTATTTCCTCAAACTATAAATAACTGTACTTTTCTTCTTGATTAGTGCTATAATAGTTATCACGCATACTTTTCAAGCTAATATTCAAAAACAAAGCGTGGAATTCGTACGGCTTAATGATAATAGATTATGTTGAAATCTTTTCATCAAAAGTAATCTATTATATTCTGGTGAGAGTCGACAGATAAATTAATTAGTGCTGATCGTATTTTGGCCACAAAACATGTCAGCAATTCTATAAAAAAAATTATCTCGAAAAACAAAATACTATATATTATCAAATAGTTTCCAGCAATAATCAACTAGATTTATATTCTAGGAAGAAATTATGTAATAAATTAAAATTGTTTTTATTCATTAAAATATGTCTATTGCTAATGTGAAATGATCCATATTATATCAATTAAATCAAACAATCAAATCTTACGGCTAATTTCCTTTTATAAACAATTTCTACCTTGAATATAAGATGATAGCAAGTACAGAACTGATAGAAAAATTTTCTTCTTTTTACTAAGAGAAAAGATAAAGTACATCTATGGTTCTATAATAATACTCGATGTATTGTATACAATAACTTATACATTTACCATCTAAGCAGCATATAATAAGTATCCTGAATATGGCTAAATTTTTTTTTTGTAATGTTGTTTATTCAAGCAGAGAAATAACAAATAATCTTAAATTAAGATACAAAATTGTATTCTCTACAAATTTCTATTAGATTTAGTTTATTACGATCGAACAAATAAATTCCATAGGCTACGATTATATAATTCAATGAATAGCATTAGTATTATTTTTGTATAAAGGAATATTAAGTTTTCTAACAAAGAAAAAATAATCCATTATTAGACAGCGCTCGAAATACTCTATTGATTATAATATAATACAATGTTGTTTAATATGTATCTTTATAATTAGACAGCAAGCGATAGTTTAAAAAAAGCGACACTTTTTCTTTCATAGGATTACTTTGGAAAGCTCGAATAGTGTAAAAGAAAAAGGAACTTTTTTTTTTTTATTAATAGACATTCGAATAGATGATTACTGCAACAAAATCGTAGAACGACAGAAACAAATTATTTGAGATTCATTGAATCACATAATGTAGCCTAGAGACATTATAATTACATTTAAGATATTTAACTTTCGAGGCAAAAGCAATATCAATCGAGTAAAAAATTGTAATAAATTTGAAGAATATTTTTTTCTCAGATTTTTATTCAAGAATATTATTACTCCTCTCTTATTTATAACAGTCAATTTGTAAGTAATTGAAGCAGAATATGACGTACAATGTATAACAATTAATGGGGCATAATAAATCAAACAAAATGTAGATATAATTTTCCAGTCATTTAAACTTATTCATATACCAAAAGATAGAGAATTTAATTTTTTTGAAAAAGATTATTTTACCTTTGCATGGCAATCCAAATATTTTATATATGGTGGATATTCCCACTGCGATGTATGGTTACTTGTGCTTTGCAGAAAGTATGGAGGATTTCGAAAGCAAAGGATTTTTTATCAAAAATGTCTGGTGAACCACAGTGCGACATGTTTTCGCTAAAATTCACCAAGAAGATCTCA